TGGCCGACTGTTTGATGCGATCACACGTCTAATCAAGGACAAGATATTTAAAGTTTAAATTAAAAAAGTCTGAATTTCTATGGTTTTATATGTCATGCAATCATATGTCACTTAGTGGTAAAAAAGTTTAAAGCATTTATAAAAAGTACATTCCTAAAAATTCCAACATAGCATAATCTGTTTAACTATAATAATTACCAGATAAAGTAATTCTTATACATCATACATTGAACACCACAGTCAAAATGTTTTGGTACTATCAATTCATATTTGCTTCCTGCAAATACTAAAACAAGAATTACATTTGGGGTGTGCATGGCATTAAAAGTGGTGATAGTTTTCTAACAGAGATACAAATAGATATAAAGGAGCTTTTTAATTAGCTCTACTATGAGTAAGTTTCTCTGCTTTGCTTTAAATCTATTAATTACTGAAGAGTTTATTTCTTCTTAGTATTGATTTTGAAATTCACTGCATTTCCAACCATACTTAACAGTTAGTTTCTTAAACATAAGCCTTGAGCATGTATTGCCCTATTGTTTACTTTCCAATAATGATATCCACATAAATACAATTCTTTCAAGCTATTTTTTTGTTGTTGTTTTTTATTTATAGGTACATACTTACTATAAAAAGACTGCCATCTCCACTTGCATCTTACTCTAACCAGCATAAGAAATGTTCTCTACAAAGAGATCTCTTGCTTACATGCCACCAACTAACACTAATATTTATTAGAGCTGCTTAAGAGACTTAGAAAATAACAAAGAAAATCTCCAGTATATTCTTTCAAGCTATATTTAGGAAAACATAGAAATTTAGGAAAACGCAGAAACCTAGGAAGTAGGTTACTGTGCATCTCCAGATTTTAATAATACTCAAAAAGCTATTTGACGAACTTTCACTTCCTAGGATGAGTTCTTCTACCCTTCAAAGTTATCCGTAAATGCCAAGCTTTCTAAAAAAGTTTTCCAGCTGCTGGTAGTAGAACGGAATTTTCTGTGTTTTGAGAAGTTCTAAGCAAGGACGTAAATCATTAGTTGCTTTTGGGATTACTCACTTTACATTTATTTAGAAGGATTTCTATTCTTGACTATACAAGAGACATAGTAGAACTTTCTGCTGTTCTTGCTCTCTCAGAATGACTGTGACAGAAATACCCAAACACAAAATGGCACAGATGGATTTCAAAGATTCATTAATTCATATACTACTCCACAGGCTGGAAAGGCCAAAGCTGCAACACCCGATTCAGGTTTCAGAAGTTTTAAACTGGAGGCATGGTGACTCCTCAGAGTACTTTTGGAATTCCATTGCCATTGAGCTTTCGTATGAACGGAGCCAGGTTCATGAAAAACCCAATATTCAAAACTTCACCAAATCAACAGTGTTCTATTTTTAGCATAAATTAAACATTCTAACCATAATGAAATTCAATATACAACCATTATTATTTTATTTTTTACTGACAGCATTACTGAAAACTGTACAAATTGCAATTAAAATTAATAATAAAAATATTGAAATAAGAGGAAGCATCAATATGTGCGATCACTTTTTTCCCCATTGTGTTTTCAGTTTTACACGTGCATCACCATTAGAAGTGATATCTGTCATAATTGGCAGACTCAGCCTGTCATTTATAGAAGCAGGTAAGGGGGAAGCAGCTAATGGAGTGGTAAAAATACCCATGTCCTGCCTACAAACATATTGCTAAAATTTACCCACACTACACCTTAGGTGATCATCACCTCAGAGATGCTGTATTGCATCTCCCAAGGACCAGGACATAATGTATTCTGACACGGCGCTCTCAATCATCTACGGGAGCTTTTTCACTCTATATAAATAAATACCACTGTATCCCAGCAGGAAAACAAACCTGCATTTCTCACACCCCTGGATCTCTATTCTGACTTTCTTGGCCAATTACTTCATAATTAGTTATACAGATTGATAATGTGGGGTTTGATAAAACCCAGAGGTGTTCAGAGGTTTACTCATCTGTTTGCATTAGACTTCAACTCATTTCCCTTTGTTGCGGCTCCAGCAGACTCAATAGGATAGTAAAGAACTTCAAGAGTTCATATAGCATTTACACTCAAGGGAAAAAGCTATGGCAGACTAAAACTAGAAAACTGATTGTTTAGACTTAAATGGAGAACTTATTCATAGCAAGTTCTGGCCTCTAACTGTTTAGTTAGCACCAGTGACAGACTTAACTGCTTATACTATGCATGTATTTATAAGCACTTAATATATGTTAAGCCTAATGCAGTCTATGGGATTATTCGTGTGTTTAGTGTTAACCATGTACTTAAAATGCTCTATTGCACTGAGCTCAGTCATTAGCCCATGCAATAAATGTGGCATTTATTTTTAAAACATGTGCTTTCTTCTTTCATCTAAGTAATGCTGAGGAGCTATGTAAGATAATAAACAAAATCAAAGCAAGCAAAATATTTTCTTTTCAGTAGAAGCAAATGTCCTAAGCACTAATGCAGCAGTCTTGGATAACAAAACAAGGCCCCCAAGAGTTAAATATCCAACATAAATAATTTTTATTAGGTTTATCTTTAATCAGTCTTGGAAAACTTCTTAACTATAAAACATATAAAATAACAATAACTGAATTATTTTAGAAAACTAGACATTTCAAGGTCTTTAGGTATCCTCATCTTATGTACTTTATCATCTTAACTTTTAAAAGATATGCAGTCTTACCTCCACAATAGCATTCAAGGCAGTGTCAGCACCAATGCTAAAGTCTGTGCCTGGCACATTGTTGCTAATAGTAGCAGGCAACACACAGATAGGTACGCAAAACTCCTCAAAGCGGGAACGTGCCTCGTGTAGCTGCAGACAACTCTCATAAGCCTGAAGCAGTGGTACAAGTATGAGTGATACATTCCTTGTCTTTGGATTGCTCTGCTAATGACTCCTTGCATGTGATGGTAAATTTGGCTGTCCATTGGCCCAAGTAAATACAATTGGTGAGATTATTTGGGGGGGATATCCTGTACATACCACAACAGTGCACTGGGGTTGCATTGGCACAATGCTCTTTGAAGAAATGCAGAAGATTAGTGCAAGTTAATACAGAGTGAACGTGAAGTGTGCACAGCATAGCAGTCTGAAGTAGTTGGGCAGAAAAGGACAGCATAAAGGTAGTTTGGAAATCATTCCACAAGAAACCACTTAAAGAACCAAGTTTGATACGTGTTAAGGAGTTTAGAAAGTTAACTAGTAAACCACCTACAACTTGAAGGAAATGTTTAAAGAAAGATGCTTTTTTAAAAACTATGTTATCCTATAAAGTAAAGACACATCTATTTCCACCAAGAAAAAGGAAAAAAAAGTTTTGCCTATGCCTTCCAAGATTCTGTCAACATCACACATCTGCCTCGATGCACATGGAATGGACATAGGCCCAGAAAAGTCCAGGAACGTGTGCACATAGATAAGTTAAAAAAGTTTGCAAGTACAGTTCAAGGATTCTTTGAAAAGGAGCTGTAGGTCTTTGGGAAGATTCCAAACAATACAAAATAAATCATCATGTCAAAAGGATTAGGTGTTCCTAATATACATCAAAATAATACTTAAAGGTTAAGATTTTGCAGCTGGTTTAAGTCAGTAAACATATTTTTTAGTTACACTATTCCAACTATTTCTAAACTAAACTAATCGGCATCTCATGATACGTGGCAATTTTTCAAACTGCTCATGTAATGACTCTCCACAAGAAAGCCTGATTACATAGTATGTTACGTTTTTCTTAATATCTTTCTCCCAGAAAGGACTGATGTTCACAGAAGTCTCATCTTTTCTATTTTTCAAATCGGTTTACAGAAGCAAACTATTGCAGATCAAAGTTAGATAGCTATCACACTATCTCCACAAATAACTATGCAGTGACTGATTTAAGCAGTAACTTAGGACAAAATGATGTGGAAAAATTCACCTGTGAGTTCTGCTCTCTAGATTTTTTTCCTAGACAAAGTAGGTCCTATTCAGCGAGGACAGGCAACACGGTGGTAGGTGCATAAGTGCAAACTGACTTTCTAAAGTCTCCCTCTACTCATGTATTTCCTAAGTGCAACTTTAAATTAAGCTCAGTGCTAGGATGCATTTCCAGTGCAAGTCTGAAACACAGTCTAAAAGACTGCACTTTCAGACCTGTAGCTCTGAGAAGCTGTATAGCCAGAAGAGCAAGAAATAGATACAGGTTGTTTTTTTTTTGAGCGGACGAGACTTCACTGATAAAATTTCAGTAATTGCCTAGCCCAACTCAGCTCAGTCAGGCGGCTTTGAATTTTTATTTCTACTGCAAAATGAAGACGTGCACTGAGTCATGGTGGTTTGGTAAAACCACATGACTTCCTGGAGGTCTGTAAAACATGAGTTTCTCGAAAAAGTTTTATACTGAGAGGTTTGGGAAACCAAGTTGAAGGGAGATTTAGAGCAATAACTAACACAACTGGTTAGTCTGCATTTATGATATGTTAAGATGCAGTTAAGATATGTTTTACTTGCATTAAATATTGCCATTCTATTTGATGCAAGTGATTTCAGCAAACATACCCAAAGACTTCACCTTCACCAAGCATGAGCATTAGATGATTATATGCAACATCTTCACATCACTGCAGCAAAACTATGAAAATCCTTTCAACAAAGTGTCACTTAATAATTATAAAAGGGTAAACAAGTGATTGGTGGCTTTAATAATTGCTTTAAAATTATTTTTTAAAAAAAGAAGTACCACAGTAAGATCACATAGGGATACTGCACTATGTCAATAAAATGGTTTAATCATTTCACACCCTTTGATTTTTATTTTTTTTTGTTAAAAAGGGTATTGCCATAACCAAGGATACTTTATAAAAAGACATGCAGTTAAGCAAGACTGTGGTTTGTTGACTTGATCCGAATGCAAATGGCCATTGAAAGGGATGCATTTACTGCCCTAGCTCCTCATCCAGCTGTTGCTAGGACTGAACTGGATGATAATTTAATTGGTTAGGTAGCTTGGCCAGGCTTATTTTCAGCTTCCTAACAGACTAATGTGCAGCCACATATGCCAGTACCAGCACCAGGATGGTACAGGAGTCTGTGTTTTTCAAGGAAACTGTGTGGCGAATGCATTAAGGCAATCCAACCGTAGCTTTATTCGCTCCTCAGTGAGAAAGGGTTTTCGTGTGGCTGCTTGCTATTCTTTTTCTCACAAAACCAATTGATCACCCTGTATCCCCTTTCCCTCTGATGAAAGGAAAGGGCAAGATCCTCAGAAAAACACATTAGAGAATTTCAGCATCTTCCTTTTTCAGGTTCTATTTTGCTCCATCTCCAGCTGATACCTTTTCTTTTTATTTCTTCATTTACATCTGTATCTCCTAAATCAAACGATTATTCTTCCATACCTTGTTCTGGTTTATTTCTCTTTCCATCAGTTTCCTCTAGCCCATCACTGGGCTTTGTTTTCAAATTAAGTTTTCATACTTTCCATTCTTTTTCCATGTTCTGTAGCTGAAAGTCTAACTCATTCTGCTTAATTACAGAGGTTTCTGCTTTTTAGTTTCACCTGCAAAAAGTATTGCTAATGCCTCTTTTTGATCAATATTAAGTAATCCAACTTTCATTTAAAAATAAGTTTCTATCCTTCATGATTATGTAGGAAAAAAACTTAACACTTCTTTTTTGTCACATTCCAGAGGTCTGCTATCTGAAATATTCTATTCATTTCATTGGATTAGCAATGTGAAGTTGAGAATAGTTTTTATCATGGTAGTTATTTTACTGATGCTTCTTTTCACAGAAAAGTCAAAATTCGTGTTCTTATCCTACAATCCTAAAACAATTTATTTTGTATATCTAGGTATACAAGCCTTAAGCATACCCTTTTCAGGTACAGAAACCTCTAGCTTTCCCCAGGTATCTAATATTGTGGGGTTTTCATTGACAATTGTTCTCACTAATATTCTGAAAACTGAAGTGAAAAACACAGCATAAGTTAAATTTGAAACACTCTTCAAAAGAGAAACCAAATTCTACTATTCAACTGATTACAAGCCTGTGTTTTAAAATAAAAATGGAAATAATGGAGCATTTCAAGAGGGTCATAGAATCTGTTATAGAATCTAAATTCTAACTATTGAGAAATGTACCATCCACTATCTACGACTTAGGGAAAAGCACACTCTTGCCTGATCTCTCATTGAGATGTTATGTATTTGTTGGCTTAGTTTTTATTGTTTTTCTTTCTAAATGCAGCATCTTAACACATTTTATCTGCAAATGTCTCACGGTACCATGTACATGCCTTGACAAGTTTTAAACAACTTAACATTGACAAGTATCTAGTAATGCCAAACACTAACAAGGCCTCATTACCCAGCAGAAACATACTTACCTTACTAAAAGTCATAAAGAACATAGAAATAAGAACAGTACCGCAGAAAAACTAAATGTGATGACATTTTGGTGTTCATAAGAGGTACTAATCTCATGGCATTGAAAACTATGATGCATTTCTTGACCTACTAGTGGCAATAAGAATAAAGATGCTACAAACTAGATATAATGGACATTCGTGTCTATCTGCTACTTTCATTTACCACAGTCAATTGTATGACCTGCATTGAGCCTATCAGTCATGGTTAATAGATGGCATCATCACTATTGAACCTGATCTGAACATACAGCACAGGAATGAAAGGATACATTTTTCATCATCAGTTTTAGTGAATCATGTTCAAACAACGAGAGCAGAAAGCTGAAAAGTTACCAAGCAGAAATGTTTCCCCAACACAAAAGTTTGCTTCTTCCCAAAAAAAGAATAAAATTTAATTTTCCATTGGATTGAATCTATATCTTGCAAAATCATCACATTTCATATTTATTTCAGAGAAAAATCTAGGCAAAATAAAATGCAAATACAAGACAGAAGGTATTAGTAAAAAAATATAATTTTGAGAAGTTTTCAACTACTGCATTGAAAATATGAAGATACTGACATTTTATTATCTAGTGAAGGCAGATGACATCTAGAAACCTAAATATAAAGCAAAACACAGCAACAAGGAGAGACTGACTGACTACGATATATCTCCTTACATGAAGTAACCTATAAAAAGAAGCCAGTTAGGTAAACAAAGTTTATGAAGAAAAGAAAAGAAGAAAAGTAGGTGTTATGCACAGTCATTTTACTCACCTTAATTTGTGATCAATAATTTTGGAGAGATATTTTTATTTACCAGAACTGGAAAAAACATCAACACTTATAATCTAAGTTGTCTATAATGAATACGTTCAAGATAAATACTAGTTAGCTTACAGCCTTGTTCAAGGCAATAGTTCAGGAAACTGAAATTTCTTAGCTGAAGGGTTTATTTTGCTGAGGACAAAAATATTTATGTTGGCATGGTAAAAAAAAAAAGAAACACCACCACAAACAACAAAACAAACCAACAAAACCAAAACAAACCAGAAAAAAAAATGTGAAAATTATGTTTGTGCTTTTGAAGCTGACAGCACTTGAAGAATCCTTCAAATGTCTGAAAATAATATCATGATTAAAATCTTCAAATACATCTAAGTGATACAAGAACTGCCATTTAATTGTCAAAAGCAACTTGAAATACTTTTCCCGCTTTACATGAGCACTATGCTCATTATTTTTCACTTTTTAAAATGTAGTTCAATATGTACAATCAGTGAAAAATTCTACATTCTGGCTCCAACATGGATGGAGAAAAAAATCAGAAAGTGGAAATTGTAATATAATATGGTAATTCATTGCCATTTGTTAAGTTATGAATGTTTTATATATATGTATATATGTTTCTTCTTTGTAAGTGAAAATGTAAATTCAGTTTTGAAGACAAATGCCTTATTAGGCCTTTGCTGTGTTTTAAACAAACTATGGACACTCTGCAAGTGCATTTGCAATATGTGTGTCCACAGAGTATGCTGAAAAGAAAAAAAAATAATGAAGAAAGTGTAATATTACTGCTATTGTTTCAGAGACAAGATTATGTCAGAATATATAGAAACATAATTAGTCGTCTTAGCTGAGGTGTGATGGATTAATGCTTCTTAAGTGATCGAGATGAACTGTAAATGTGCATGCCTGACAATTTAATTTGTATCCTTTGACAATGCTTTCTCTCTTAGTATTAATCAATACATTTTTAAGTTACATCATATTACTGGATTTGATTTTTAAAAGAATACTTCACAATATGTCTCCACTGTTTTTGTTAAATCTGTTATTTGTAGAATACATACAATTCCTACTAGAGAAATATGGATCTTACATTCTCTATTAGAAGAATAAAGATGTTACATAAATAACGATCTTTTTCTGAACAGAACAACACTCATTCACTGTTTCTTACAGCTAGGTATATTGATACTCTACATATAATAGAGATTTTTTTTCCTCTACAGTGCACCAAATGATCATCAAGTCTTAGCTTTAGGTTTCTTTCTTCCATATACAAGAGATATATGCCATCTTATTTTGTAGTTTATAAATTTACAGGTCATTATATTTTCAGAGGAAACCTAATGGAAGCATTTGGGATGCTAAACCTTCTCTTTTTTAAATAGGTATCCCAAATGCGGCTATATCAAGTAACTATTATCTTCCAGATTACATTTCCAAAGTTCTGGTCTATAAAAATATCCAGTTCTAGCCAATTTAGTCAGTTTTAATCAGAACTGCCTTGTTAGTAAGCGCACACACCAGAATAGACTTACATCAGTTATAGTGTTCAGAGCAGTATCTGCACCAATGCTGAAATCTGAACCCGGTACATTGTTGGATACAGTTGCAGGAACCATAACCATTGGAACACAGAATTCGTCATATTTCTCTCGGGCAGCTGACAATTCCAGAAGTCCGAGGTACGCCTGTTGAGCACAGGCATTGGGGGAAAAATTAGGATGAATAAAATAAGGGCAAAGTTGGAACGATAAAATGGAAAGGGCCACAGGGGGAGCCATTTCTACCACAGCACACTTCAGCAAGTCAAAGCATTAAGGAACCACTAAAATCTAACACAGACACAAAAAAGAAAGCATTAAAACCAGGTATACATTTGAAAATAAACAGTAAATAGCACATTCATTTTCAAGGGAATATATAATTTCGACATAACAAAGTCCTTTGTACAACACAAACATACTGCAAACTAGTTCCCCAATCTTCAGGTACTGCTACTCCTCATTAAAATCTTAATATTCCTGAACTAGGGTCATGCCCAACAGGTTGGAAAAAATGGATGATTCATTCCTTATCAAGAAGCAATAAGCAAGTTCTCTGGGAAGAGCTGGCAAAATACGTTTCTGAATCAAGATTTCAAAAATGTATTGTTTTGGTAAAATGAAATGAACATGAAATATGGAAGAAAAAAAAAAAGAAAATACTTCTCTAGATCAATTACAGATTTTGAAATGCACTACGTGAGAAAGAGTAGCCTAAATAAGGAACCACAGTGCAATTACTACTAAAGGTCAAGAACTTCTGGAAGTATGTTTTAAGTATTGATACAGTATAGACTGGAACTTGCACTACTGAAGTAATAATTGTTGGGGGTTTTTTAATACAAAAATACTATCGTGCTATCTCACCTTATTTATCCATCTAGCACATCCTGTTTTGCAGTTCCTAGTTGCTGTCTTGCTTTCCACAGAAACAGTGATTGACAATACTTCTGATCCTTAACACTATTTGTGTTTTGTATCAAATATAGTTATAACCAAATGCCCTTCACATGAAGATTGGGTAAAAATTAGGAATTCTACTCTACGTAGACATAATTAGACATTTTGGTGTACCTCAAATCCACCAATAACCATAAGGGCGTTAATGTTGTTAGTGCGCATCTGGTCAGCAATCTTCTCCAAGTATTTTGCAGGAAGTGTACTAAAAATTATTAAACCAAAAGAAAAATAAAAATAATTTACAGACTCTGCAGCAATAAGAACTAGTTACTAAGCTGAAACAGTAAACTGAGCATGCAGTGCAATTTTTGTTTTTTACATATTTATCCATACAAAGAATTCTTCCTGACAACCAGTAGGAACCATGTCAACTGTAAAGAAACTACAGGTTTGCAATCCTTTTAAGTGTAAGGACCCCAGGAAATTTTTAAGTTGAGGTCCTGACTCCCATTTTCATTCTCTCTTCAGAGCTGGTAAAGTACTATAAAGATACTCAAGTTGGAACGTAACGATTTAAAAAAAAAAAAAATAAAATTGAAGACTTGAAACATTCTGTGGAAAGAAAAGAGCCTGGAATCACACACTGGTTATATAAAATACTAGAATTCATCATATCAATTAGCAAAAATTGATGTTACCGTTTTGTACCAAGAATTGATCCTCCTTGACCAGTCCAGCCTCCAACATCTCCCCAGCTGATTTCCTTTATCTTTGAATAAAAGTAAAAAAGGAGATTCTATTAAGTAATTATCCAATGACTTCCCTTGACATGCAGGTATTACTTAATGTAAAGCTGTTGGAACAAGTTGTTGGACACAAACAGCATCAAAAATGAACTTGGCAAAGAAAGGAAACAGCATCGGGAAGTTAACTTAATTTCTCTTGAATTCTTACCAATCCCTTTCCATTCTGTCTATTTGTTCTTTCTTCCTCCAGACGAGAATGAACCCTGCCTCCTTGTTTCATATCGTGATCCTATTTTCACATCCTCTCCCACCGAATGTGAAACACAAAAATCTAAAAATAGGTCTTTGAAGTTAGTTTTGGGACCTTTGGCTCCAGCTAGCTGTAGAAGTCATAATTCATTCAGTTTCTCCTCAGTATGCCAACTGATGCTTAACATTGAAAACAGGGGAATAGAAGAATCTAACTCACTGGGAGGAAAGGGGGGACCACTTCCTCCCTCAGCAAGCATCACTGTGAAGTTTCTTATAGCCATGGAGCACAGATGCAACCACTCATCACACAGAATCAGTGATTCTTCTGTTATTCTCTGGAAAACCTACCATATGCTAAACATTGACCAAAATTTGAAGGTAGGATTCATCTGAACTAGTTTTGTAACTAAGCGGCATGTGATTAGCTATACTTAAGATAAATTAATCCATAGACTTGAACAGCTGAGAAATACAGTTACAATTTTGGTTTTATATATCTTTATGAAATAAAAGAACTTACAGAATCAATTCCCTCAACAGTTATGACAGAACATACCTTCTAAGAACATAAACAAAGGTGGTGGTGTGGGATGGGGTACGTACTACTATGTAATCCACACATGTCATACTGACCTTCCCTCTAGAAAAACCTTCAAATCCATCAATGACAGCAAACATTTTATGTCCTTCAGTTATGCCAACTCTCACCGCAGCTCTCACTGCAGCATTCATTCCCGCTGCAGGGGCACCAACATTTAAAACTGCCACATTAAAATTAGTCTGCAAGAGAAAAATAATATTAAATAAGTACTTTAATTTCTACTCTATGGCTAATTTATCCACTGTACCCAGTTGCTACATATTGGAATATAGAAAAGGATATTTCAAAACCCCTAAACCCATCCAAAATTTAAAGTTAACTAGAAGATACATACACTTATTTCCCCAGTTGCCAAATATCACACAGTTAAAAAAAAAAAAAAAAGAATGTTTGTTTTTAAATAAGACTTTATCACATTTTCATTTGGTTTGCAGATTAAGTTATTCAGGTTTTTATATTCTAGCCCAGCTACATTCAAGAAATGTAAAATACCCTGTGTTATTCAACCAGTTTCATATTATCAAGCAGTAGTTTTTTGCAAAAACACCCAGAATAGCCAAGAAAATAGTAGGAACTTATTCTAGCACCATAGCAGTTAGGTGTGTATCATTGGTACCATGCAAAGCAGAACAGATGACAACTTTTAAATTAAAGTATTGGCCAGGTTTTTAGAGCAGCTGGCAATATAGTACAAAACAGGAGCCCTCAGCATCTTTCACAATACCATACTTTTTCAGATTATAGCAGCTTTTAAAGCATCTCCTAATGACTCAAAGTAACTGTACTTATGTACAGTGTCTCCCCAAGTTTAATAAGTATCCCAGGTAAGCAGCTAACCTACTCAAATGGAAAAGTCTGAGATATCAAATATACATTTGTAATTTAAACCACAGGCAACATAAGAGAGAAGATTCTATTTAAAACATAGCATGAAATAATAAATATTTTGGTATATAATGTGTATTCCATACCTATGCATTTAGTCTCCATTTATATTGCTTTGTTCTCAGTAGTACTCTAGATAAAACTACATCTAAATGGATGTAAGCATTACAAACCAAACACCAGGTGGCCAAAATCATACAATCTAGCTACAAAATGCTATTGAAAACTTCTGTCTTGTTACAATAGACCCAACTCTAAAACCACAACAATTTTCCAGTTAAGAATGCTTTATTCAATGGAATTACTACTTTATACTGATAAACCCAGTATCATTCAGATTATGGATTCTTCCCCAGAGGAAAAAACTTCAATACTTGCATTAAAAAGAAAAATATAACAGAAAAATTACTCATAAATGTGCACTGTAAGGGTAAACAAAGCAAGAATGCTAGTAAGTATCTTTTGATTAAATTTTAACTGCAAAGCATGAAACGCAGATTTTCTGTACATGAAGTATTCCTTGAAATGGAAGGCTTATTTCCAGATAAATCACAGGCAACTGTCTTTTTTTCATTAAGAAACAGTCAGCTAGTATAAATCAATAGTTTCCCTGACATCAGTAAGTGTTGACTTACAACAGATAAAAATACAATCCATTACCAAAAAATGAAGAAGACACTACAATTTATTAATTGCTTTATTTTTACAGCTTTGAAATGAACAGTGAGAGCAAAATATAAGTAAAGAATTAAAACTTTACATGCCTGACCTTTGGGAAAGTTTAACCACTCTGGATGAATTTAGCAAACAGAATTTAAATGATAGCAAACTATGTAAGCAAAATGCAAGAAAACTTGACACCCTAAGCCTATACACTAAAATTCATCATGCTTTAGGTCATCTGGATGACCTTAAATTATTTATAACTATTGACATGATGGAATTGTAACAATTTGGTACTGCAGAAGAGCTAGAAGTTATTAGCTTTATCCTGGAGGATGGGAATACAAAAGACAAAAAAAACAGAACTGGTGTTAAGTAATGATCACAGAATCTCTTAAAAAAAAAAAAAAAAGACCCAAAACAGAAGGTATGTGGTTTCCTTTTTAGCTGTGGCACAATCAAAGGATTGTAGAAGAATGCAAAGGAAACACAAACAGCAAAATACATGTGCACAGCAACACTGCTGAAGCAGATCATTCAGCAGGCTCTAGTGATCTGATCAGCTTAGCCTTTTCCTCAATTCCCGTGACACGCGCATTTCATCTACTTTTTAATTCCCATCCAACCCCTTTTATTGAAGCACACAGATTTAGCTATCATGGTCAAATCCAAGTAGTTAATAAAGACAAGTGGCCTACATTTCCTTCTAATGTCATCCATCACAAAAAGATATGGCAAAACTATTTTAAAACAAAATACAAAAGTCCAGTGCTAACAGTCCTAAATTTGCATTTGAATATATATATATAAAAAAAAACCACAAACACACACCTGATGTGGCAAAGGAAATGCTGAATATCCACCAAAAAAATCCTGAACTCTTTGATCTCTTGAAGGTCAAACTTAGTTTTGTTTTTTTTTTTTTTTCTTTTCAAATTACATTTTTGGCAGGTATATTTGAAATAACTTTGGTCTATATACATACTTTTACTTATGTTTAGGCAAAAGTAAAATCATAATTTAAACTCAAGTTATTTTATTGTAGTCTCCTTGAAGGCTTCTACTGACTTTTCATTTGTAATCAAGTTTCCTTTACTGTGTGGGGTTTTCCATGACATATTATGCTGCAATTTTTGACAACTGAAATGGCTAGCTATGATTATATTACTTGCTACCTGCAGAACTTCTGAACAGATGTCAGCTATTCAAATGAACTCTTCCTGTTTTCAATACAATTTTTCTCCTTAATAATATTGAGAAGATACTATTAATCATTATCTAAATATTTAATTGCAATAAAAAATCCAAACAAAACCATAAAAGTAATGTAATCATGCAAATAAGGTAACAAATTGTCACAAACCACTATTAAAAAAAGAATTAACCACTGAGGTGATGCAGTCACCAACTATGGTCAAAACCAGAATTATTCAGTAAACCATTAATGAAAATAAAAAAATCCTGTCCAAAATTCGTTTGCACACAACATTTAGTGTCTACTTCCTAATAAATCCAAATTTCCTCTTATACACAACTTCCAAACTACAAAGAAAAGAAGAACTAAATGTCCACTGCTATATTATGCACAGTGATTCAGTAGATCAGTTAAACATGATGCACCTGTCCTCACTATTCTGCCCCATGAATTCCTGGACTTACCCCTGTTCTTGAGCAGTTTTGCCCTTCAAAAGGAAGGGATAGAATTCTTTTACATTGAATCTTCATTCCTTATCCCAAGATTTTTAGGTTCTTAATCCTCTTAATACCTCAGCATAACATTAACTATTAGGAACAAAAACTATAGCTATTGGGACCACACATATATCCGAGACAGAAAGAAACTGTCATGAAGGAAATTTTCTACTTAGAATGGTATTTAACTTTAAAAAAAAAATTGTTATTATTAGAACAAAGTTGTATGTTGCAAGCGTATTTCTGCCATTATAATATTTAATTAATTTTATAAAATATCCTATAGCATAGGTTTGAAGAGAGTATTACGGTGGGATGAGGGGGACAGAAGAAGAAAAACAGTATTAAGATATCCCAAAAGCAGACATGCATTGCACACTCAGAAAAAAAACATACCTTTGGAAGCTCAGCATCTGGTTTTTTATGCGACAGTAATTTGTAGGTGTTAAGGTTGTTTTCAAAGCTCCTAAATAAATAAGTAAATCAGATGAAGTAAATAAGATAAGTAAAGAGTAAATTTTTCAACCCATAGTTATTTTAAGGGAACACTTGACTTTTTCAGAAACTTTTTTTAAAAAGTTCTGTAATACTTGGACCAAAGTAATTACAAATGCAAAACACAATAAAAACTGGAAACAAGAGAACACTGGAAAAGACTCAATCCTGTAAGACAATAGTGAAAAAAACCCACCTAGCAAGTGAGTTTTACAGATAAAGCATTTTATTACCCAATGACTTGAAACAGAAAATACTGTGTCAACACATAAGAGCGCAGAATGTCTCCCTCCAACATTACTGTTGGAAAACTAACAGCTACTTACAAATGAGCTCACAGGATTGGCCTTAAAAATCTTAATGAACAAACATATGATTGCTACTAGTCAGCTCATACAGCACAACAGCTCTTTACTTAGTGACTAGTTATCCTAGTATCAGTGACTAGCCTGACAATACTGAACTATTTTTCTTTGTTTTGCATATTTTTATGCAGATAAGAATTTCAATTATTCTATTTAAACAACTCTTCTTCTGTCTCCTCTATTATTTTCAAATATATAAAACCATATGGATATTAAATTATTTAAAATAAAATGTCAAGTGCCAGCAGAACAGCAAAGCAATTCAGCTTTTCTAGAGCAATAAATTGATACAAATTATTGGCCATACCTTCCACGAAGCCTCACAGCTTCAACAAATCTTCCCTCATCCATGGCTTTCTGGACTTCTTGAGTCTTGAAAAAACAAGTTGATTACTCATTATGCTTAAAAAACACACGAAGTTGATTATTTAATATATTCCAGTAAACAGATCATTCTGAAATAGCTTTCCCAAGTGAAAAAAGAAATATTGACATGTCATTAATTTATGAGCTACCTCTTATCATAGCATAAATTACAGTGGACAGAATAACAAAGTAGAAGTACACACCTAAAGCCTTCCTGGCCTCCTGGGAAAAAACCCCAACAATCTCTCTCTTTTGTGTTTTCTTTTTTCAGTTTAAACTGAACAATTTTAGTGCAGAAACCTGACTGTTGTGTATGACATGTAAATGGATGCAAGCATCTGAAAAATTTGTTTTAGCAATAAAAAAATCTGAGATTAATTTTAAAACAAATTAAATATATATATATTTCTTGTTTGTTAGTCTGCAAAGTAGCATTAACACACAGAGAGCACACATGAAGTTCATTATTCCCAAATGTGGGAAACTGCTCCATACATTCCCATCACTATTTTTGTGACAACAGACAGCTATTGTACACAGCGGTCTGTTGCAGTTAATGAATAACTATAAATTGGCATTTTGCCAGAAACTCACCATCTGCACACACTCCATCAAAGGCAGACGGACAGCCTGGTTTCCAGACAGGGACACCACACAGGCAGGGGTAGCTGGAGTAGCTTCTAAAAGGGCAAGTACAGCTTCCACACCCATACGACTTGCCTGAAAATAGATAATGTTTGAATGTTCAAGCAAGCACTTAAAAGCACAAGGCTTCCAATTACAGAAATGGCCATGATTTCTCTGTAAATCAAGCTAAAACTAATTATTCCTTGGTAGGTGAAAATGTCACAGGCTGTTTAATACTCCTAAGTATGGACAATTGTTCTTGCAGCTCTGCTGTTTAATCCTAACAGAATCCTTTACACAAAGTCCTTTACTATTCTGAATTTGAGATATTCAGACAGTTAATGTGAGATAATAATTGGATTTGTCAAGTTAATGAGGTAAAGAATTACCGTGCCCCCAAATAAATAATCAAAATGTACTTGTACCATGGAGTGCCATGAGTGATTACTTTAGGTTCACTCACCAAAATTCTGTCAAAAGCTGAAGGCGTTCCACCTCTTTGCACGTGACCTAAGATAGTTACTCGGGTGTCAAAACCAAGCCGCTGAACCACAAGCTGCAAAGAATTTCAAAATACAGTGGTTTTATGATCATCATTAATTTATATATGCATGTGTTAGCATTATTCTGTTTTACATGCTATTGGAATAACAAAATTCTACATATACTATGCATTAGTATGTCAACGGTAATTAAAAAACTAGAAAAGTTAAGCCAGTCTTTAGTTTATTCCTAACCTAGAACTCAACTCCAGGTTTAGTTCCTTTAAATTAACATTTTAATTATTAATGGCAAAACAGTGGCTTAGATTGCAATGATTTAACTGCAGTTAAACTGGCTCATTATGCACAGTCCTCAGCCTTATAAAAATAGGTCTAAACATTATAATTAGAATACTTGAAAGAAGTTCAATTGCAGTGTTTTGTTCACTCCCTGTTTCATCAATGTGCAAGATTACACATCCCAAAAGATTCTGAGCAAAACGGTCATGAAGATGACTTTTTAACCTAATTCACAAGGCTTTTAAAACTTGCAGTAAAAAAAAAAATAATTAAACTATTTAATGCAGTCAGACTTTCTTTCCATTTCCTCTGTTACGTATCAAATCTAAAGTCACAGAAAGATATCTTTTGTTAACATAGCTTCAGTGAGCATGTAAGGTTGGGACTCAGCAATGGATACCACAAAGCAGAAAAAAAAAAATTAGTTTATACAAAATTTTAGTTTTTACAAAATCTCCTGTCTCTGGTATTTATGGGTTTTGAATGTCTTAACTCGCTGAAATTTGTAGCAAACAAGTAGTGTTTCTTCCATAAATGCATAATAGCTATCTGCTGCCTGTACACTTAACACCACTTGGTGATAAATTTACAAAGTAAAACTGCAATTCAGAATTAAGAGTCAAAGATTACTCTCAAACTGACAGCTATGGAAAACAAAACTTCATAGTCACAGATAAATCCCAGGCAGAGTCAGTGTCCTAGCTCCTTCCTGCCAATAATTATTTTCCAACTTCTTTTCTTAAGGAACCCTTTCCACGAAGCAGCATAATTTCAGCTCAAAAGTTTTTCTTAATCTTAGACACCAGTGAAATTTTTGGCAAAGCAACCATTTAGAAAAAAGTGACAAAACTTTGTGCAAAGTAGACAGTATTATTTCACTAAGACAGACTATTATTAAAATTTTACAAGAAATATAAAGTAAAATAGTATTATAATTACTGATTTGAGCTGATTTCAGACTCTCTACCATGAAGTAGGTGTTTTGGACTGTTATTTAAGTTTACAAGGAGAAAAGGTTCTAATTAAGGGGGAGTTATTTCAGTGGCTGTTAAGTGGACTATGGATTCAGATAATAAAGCACAAATATAAAATACAACCAGCAAGCTGTGTCTCTAGCTACTTTACAGGAACATATTTACTTTACAGAAATGTTATTGATAGTAACACGCCCCATCTTAAGAACAAAACAGAAAGTGCAGGATGTTGACACTTACATCCTTGACCTTCTCTGACGTTATAGGTTTGTTGTGGCAATCAATAGCTCCTTCAGCTACAATAATAATATTCAGCCTTTTCTTTCGTGCACGATTCTATAATAAAAATAAAAGCACATCCAAGTAATAAAAAAAATGGAAAGAAATTTACAGCACAATTTTATAATCAATTGCCATACATTAAACTGCTAGGATTTGAATAAATATTTCTTATACTCGATCACTTCAAAGTTCTCATATACTTTATCTTCATACAGGGCTTTTCAGTGATGAAGTGAAACGTCTTATATCAAATTAACGAGGGAAGGTACACATACTGATTATGTATGAATAGGTTTATGTAATCCCTAGCGTAAGCCATAGAATTCTTCAAAACAATTGCAGAATGCAGGAAAGGAACTGTTTAAGATCAAATAGCACTATCTGTGACACCAGAAGCAAAGACTTGCCGAAAGTCCTGATCATATGTTTAAATCACTGTTTTCAAACAAACATCTGAAAAGATGTCAGGAAATCCCAAACATAGTAATAGATTACCTCTGAAAGCTTAACACACATTGAATCTTCCCATCCTTCTTCTGGTGGGTATTCAGGAATAAATACCCAATCTGCACCACAGGCTAAGGCACTAACAAGAGCTAGATACCTAATAAACATAACAAATGATTAGACATTTATAGTTCAGATTTTTTGATCTTTCATAATTATATCTGTATGAGACACAAACTGCTGAAGATGATACATACCCACAGTGTCTCCCCATAACCTCCAGAACAAATGTCCTCTGATGACTGTAAAAGTAAGAAACAAATTAACTATAATACTGCAACTCAGAACTCCAGTCCAAATTCTTGAAATCAGACCCTGATATCAGGAAATAGGCCTGTGTTCTCCATGCTTATCAAACACAGATTTCATTAGCAAAATAGAAGGCCATATTAAACAACGTATTTAAAACTACTTATCTTATCTTAATGTATAACTCATTTTCACTACTACTTTCTTCTAAAACATGTAAGGGCAGTTAGGAGAAAAAATTGAATATATACTAGAAATTTAAGTGATGCAGACCCACAGTTAAGAACTGTAACAGTATAGCTCTATTAAAAAAATAATTAAAAATCATTTAGTTGCTTAAATTTTACATAGGGAAAGCTTATATACAAACAGATGCTACTTTGTGCAATTCAAACTGTGTCTGGATCTTCTTTAGAAGACTACGCCTGGGAAAGACTAAAAACATATTAAACAACCAAAGCCTGCCCATAAAGCTGATGCAGCGTCTACAATCAGATGCCTGAAGCGTTGCCATGACAGGAATGATGGAAAAGCAGTTACTAAGAAAAAAAGAAAATGACACTTGAAAGATACAGCCAAAAAAAGTGCTTATTCTCACTCTAGAAATATTACAAATACCAGTTACCTAACTTCTATTTATAATTAACTTATATCCTCCACTATTGTATGGCAATAGGAAACTTAAATTTGAAGCATAAACAACTGTATATTTGTTACAGTTTTCTATAATATGGCACAATTTACCTTTGAGCAGTGGTCATGATGGCATCCACAACTTCAATGATTCTGTGCAAGGCTGAGTCGGTACCTATGGTCATATCAGTGCCACAGAAGTCATTGTCTATGGATCCAACCATTCCCACAATGTTAAGGTAAGCGTATTTCTTAACAGCCTCTTCATCAATTTTTCCTGTAAAGAAGTATCCAGAGAAAGAGTTTTAATTTTTATTTTTTTTTAATCATTTTAGACATATTGCTTGGGTGCTCTACTTTTCTAAATAAAACACATTAAAAAATTAATTATGTTTAGATATTTTAGGTAACAAGGTTAGTCAAAACTACAAACAAAAGCCAATCAAACCACCAAACAAAAGAATCCTGCATAGAAATCCTTACAATAAATAAGGAAGGAAACAAGAGCTTTTCAGTCCATTTCAGTGTCAACAGATTATCATGTTTTGTAACCAACCTTAAAATTGATGGTTTGGATTTAAACAATAGCATTCAAATTGTAGTCTCAGTGTATGACGTGCAATGAAGAAGTAAAAAGATGCAAACTGGATGTGATTATGGGCATATGTGAACAATCAAAAACCAGCATTAGACTTTTGAAGAGTTCTCTTCTGCAACACTGAAAGGCTCTGATTTCATGATTAATAAGCATATAGAATAGAAAAGCTCCTATTCAAAGTCTTAGTCTGTGTCTCCCAAGACATCAATGAAAATACTGAATCATCCAAGAGTTCTAAAGGATCTCAAGGATGAACTACCTTAAGCACTTAAGTGCTTAAAACTACTTCAGTATCTGTGAATGTGATGGTAATAAACAAAATGCCAAATTTTTAATACGGATTCAAGAATTATGTATCAGTGTGTTTAATGTCTATACTACAGAAAATAGTAGAAACCACAATGAAAAATGTAACTAATGCCTGTAAAGATAAATACAGCATTCTGAAGAAGAATGAAAATGTTTTCTATGAATGTATACCATGCATTACAAACCTTTTCTAGAGTTCCAAAGGTGACTTAATAATCACATAAATAAGGGATATCTGGTTGACATATTCTACTTAGATTTCAAAAAAGCCATTGATGAGGTCTGTCCTCAAAGGATTTTGAGGAAACTAAGTAACCGCAGCATAAGAGAGAAGGTTTTTGTATAGAATAAATAATGTGAAACAGAGGGTAAAAAATATGAAACAGAGGGCAGTGATAAATGCAAGTTCTTGTATCTGAGGAAGGTAACCAATGGAGTTCTACAGGAATCTGAGCTGTTCAACATACTCAGCAATAACCTAGAAAAGGGAATGAGCAGTAAGGTGTCAAAGTTTACTGATCAAACTGAATTATTTGGTTCTAATAGTGTGGAGGGTCTGAGAAGAAATGAAGACGACTAGCAAGACAGTGAGCAGTAAAGTATCAGATGGAATTCATTGTAGATAAATGTAAACTAACACACATGAAAAATGTACCCTAACATCACAAACAAAATAGTGCTATTTTCAGCATAATAAAACAATAATGCTGTTTGCATTAATAAATCAGCTTCAGCTGATAGCAGTCAAAAAAATCCAAATATTAGAAAATATTAGGAAAAGAATAGAGAACAAAGCAAAGTTCATTATACTACTGTGTAGATCCATGGTTTGCCCTCATCTTGAATACTGGGTGCAGTTGTGGTCCTCCCCACCTCAAAAAGGACATGGTAGAACTGGAAAAGGTTCAGAGAAGGGCAACAAAGATGATCAAAGGTATAGAACTTACATATAAGGAACAACTAAGCAAACTAGGGCTCTTCCATCTAGAAAAAGAGATGATGAAGGGAAAATAAGACAGCTGTAAAATCTCAAGTAGCATGCAGAGAGGAAGCAGGATTGATCATTCACTGTTTTAACACAAAAATTATAGGACATCAAATGAAACTAGAAGCCAATGGGATCAAAATAATCAGGAGGAGATTCTTCACAATCTTCATCATTCAGTGAAGCTGTATGACTCCTTGCTACACAATGTTTTCAACAAAAATCTGTATGCTTTCAAGGAGACTGTATACATTCATGGAAGAGAAATTCATTAAGGACTGCTAACAGCATCTGGTTCAGGAAGTCCTGAAGACAGAAATGGATGGAACCTATCAGAGTATTTATATACTACAAATAACATACAGCATCCACACAGCATTATTTAGGCTCGTTCTGTTCTTTTACTCTTCCCTATGCATTCTCCTTGATGCTATCAAAGACACTACTGGGCCGGATGCACTTTTAGCAACTGCCACTTAATGCTCTGATCTTAAACAAATAGTGACATATAGGCAGGAAAGCATCATAATTTAGTAACAACCAAGTATGCAGTATGCAGAATTACCATCTTAATTTGGATTTGAGGGCAAAGGCCTTTTCAAGCAGAAGGTTAAAAATTCAGGCCCTGAAAATTATTCGTAACAGGGGGAAAAAGCCACAGGCTTTTACCTGTTACCCAGTAACTTTTTTGGCCTTTCTGAACCTTTATGGCATATGAAGAGAGGATGTACAGAAATCAAAAACTATTACTTTATGAAGAACCATGTAATTTCCTAGAATGTATGCATTTGATTTTGGAACTTAAGAAATATCCTCTGGATACAGTTTATGTATCTACACAACTTCCCCGGAGATTGGACTAGAAATTTAGACCGTCTAAATGCAAACTTACCTTTCTGTGCCAGTTCTTCTAGAAGTCCGCTCCATTCCTCGCGGAACAGATTGGCACCAGTTAAGCTACCATCACCGCCAATCACACAAAGATTAGTGATTCCTCTCTGAACCAAGTTGTAGGCTGCCTGCAGGCGGCCCTCCCGGGTACGAAAGGATTTGCAGCGTGCACTACCAATAACTGTACCTCCCTAGAAAAGGAAGTATAACAGTTTTAATTTACAATCCAGTATTTTATTGGGGTTTTTTTATGGTGGATTAATGATGAATGGTTATATTGTAGCGTAACCTCCATCTTTAATTTTACAGAGAGTAAAAAGTAATGCAAAACATAGAATTTTCAAACCTGTGGTTATGACATTCTCAAGAGCAGATACAGACACCAGGGAAAAGGGGGAAAAAAAACATTCAAAAATGACTGATAAAGAGCTACTCTTGAAAGAAATGTTAAATGATTTGCAATTTCAGTAGCATTCCAATTAATTATCTAGTTATTACCTATATGTGGTGACAATAGTAACAGTGATATGATACCAAGTAGTCAAGAATTGAGATGAATTTGCTTCAAGACGTGACATTTTTCCACTAATATCATGAAATATATAAACAATAACAGAAAACATATATTCTTAAACCTCAAAATTAGTATTTATTGTCATTCCACGCAATTACGGAAAGAACTGCATCAACATTTAGTGCCATATATAATCATAGAATTGTCCAGTTTGGAAGGCACCTTTAAGATCATCCAGTCCAACCATCAACTTAACACTGCCAAAACCAACACTAAACCGCGTCTCTAAGCACCACATCTACCTGTCTTTTAAATACCTCCAGTATGGCAGTTCCACCACTCCCCTGGGCAGCGTTAAATAGCCCTTTTGGTGAAGAAATAAATTTTTCCTAATACCCATCCTCAACCTTCCCTGATCCAACCTGAGGTCATTTCCTTTTGTCCTATCACTTGTTACTTGGGAGAAGAGACTGATCCTAACCTCTCTACAACCTCCTTTCAGATCAGACTAATGTTAAATTTTCTGTGTTATTAATTTACCTGCTGTATTTATTAATATGATCTAGAGAGCTTCCTCCAAAAATGTAAGTCATTATTTCAGAAATGACTGAAGTGCCCCGTTACTGAAAATTGCTGGGCATCTTGCTGAAAACAAGTCATTTACAAATCTTCTGTATTTATGTTGTTCAGTCACTCAAGAAAAGTCTAGTTTTTGCCTTATTTATTGTCACAGTAAAAAATTAAATTAAGACTGCAAAACCTTTTTTTTTTTCCTGCAAACAAATCTGGAAATGATTACCTCGCTTTTGCACAAACATTTCCTTCACTTTAACTTATAATAATCATTCATCCAATCTAAATTTGAGCTCAAATTGGCAGAGGCTGTACTGATATGATTTACCCTATGAATAGGTGTTTCAGCTCTCAAGCCAGTCCTGGGCATTACTGTCTACATTGCAATACAGAACAGCTGCTAGTGGAAGAGAAACAAAAAGTGGAATAGAAGCAGTTCAGCTTTCTCCCAGACAAAAAAGTAGAAGTGTACACATGGAGATGTCCTAAACATAACAATCAGGACTAAAAAACATCTAAAAGAGATACTTGCATACTTAAATAAACATAGGTGTAAGAGGAAAAGAGATTATGTATTTGAAACAATGTACTACAACTTGCTTTGATTAAACAGAAATATAGGCTGGGCTGAAAAATCTTTTATCTAAACAAGAAAACATGTTCTTTAAGACACATCGTCAGCTTCACTGGTTGGTCTGTTGTATTCCTAGCAATCAGGCTGAAAATGGTGTTATTCTTACAGTATGTATGCTATATACATGTATAAGATGCCTAGATCCTGCTCCTGCCTATGCTCCTGTGTGGCTTGGCCACGACATCTCAATTTTCTCTTAATCATAAGATTACAGATTCTACAAGATAGGGGATAAAAAAAAAAAAAAAAACAACCAAAAAACCAAACATACACGGACAAAATATGCCACAGTGTTCCAGGCTATGTATTTGTTTAAAAAAAAAAAAAAAAAAGAATTAAAATCTATTTTTCTCTCTGATAACTGCTTTATGTTTATTATATTAGCTTTACAGAAAGCTCCAAAGAAACCCACGCTTCACCTGGAGGTAGTTTTCAGAAAGCCTGGAGAGCACTAAGGCCTCTTCGCCAAACATAGCATCTGCTCTGGGAGAGGTAACATTACCATGCTGAGGAAAATTGTAAGGATATCCAAATGGCCACCTTGCAGAACGTAGTAATACAAATGCACAAGCAAAGTCACTGCTATTATCTGAGCTCTGGAGAACTACGCTGTAATTACGCCCATTACTATAATTCTAAATCCACTTACAGAGGAAGCCAACAGGCTTTTGTAAGAAAACACTTTCCTTACAAAACACAGTTGTTTCTTATTTTTGCCCTATAATATCTTTTTTATTAAATATAGGCTTGTCAATATGGATGACAAAGCTTTTCAAGATTATTTCTGTGCACCAAACACAAAACCACACAAAGATCTTTAGAAAGTTTCAAATATCCATACTGTAGAAATCAGGCTCTGCTGAAAGTGGTATGTGCTGATCACTAAGTCATCATAGAATTTGAATGCATAACTACAGTGATTGCCTGGCTCTAGAATTTTGGTTTCCTGTTTAAAGAGAGAGGGTTTGGGTCCCACCCCCTAACACTTACCACTTGCAGGATACTTGAAACACTTTCCCATGAAACTTCTACAATATTATCACCTCCATCCACCATTCCCTGGTAACCCTGAAAGAGAAGAAGTATTTCAGAAGTCTGATTTGAAAAACTGTAACATTTCCACTGCAGTAATACTCACCTTGTATATTTTAATGCAACTTTAAGTAACTAAAAACACTGAATAAAAAAATACTAAATGAAACCACATTCAAGCAGGTATCACATTGGGGGGGGGGGGGGAAGCCAAACAAACCCTCTTCCTAAAAGAACGGTTCCAAAGACAACTTCAAGATAAAGTAGTATTTTACACAGATTACACAGCTTATAAACTAGAATGGCAACATATTTCTCCTTAAATATTCAGTTATTTTTTAAAAACTACAAAGATGGAAGAACTTTGAAAAGCATTACAAAATGTGCTTCCTAAAAACATAACCTCAGCCTGAGGTCATGATCTTTGAAAAAATATCTATCTTTGTAACATTTTGTACACTTTTCCCTGCAAGGTAAGTATAAGCAAAACAAAATAAAGAGCAACAACAAAAAAGTTTTCATTAAGGAAGAAGAAATCAGGTCACATAATCTTTATTTTTTTTGGAGGCAATTACACAATAAATAGATGAAAGAAATTTACTAGAAAAATACAACTTTTAGTGATGCATTTAAGAAAACCTTAATACCTTAACTCAAATGGTCTTCAGAAACCAATGCATGCTGTAATATAGAAAGAACTACACTTAGTTGAAAGAAGGAAAACTATCCAGTGAGCATCTGAAGGGTACTGTTATGCCTGGCTTCGTTAACTCTCTGCATAAATACTATCAGAAAGATAGTGACAATTACAGATTCTTTTCCATTAGGTGATATTATGAACGCTGATTTGAAAAAAAAAAAACCAAAAAAACACCAAAAAAAACCAACCAGCAAAGTTCTAACCTGGAAAAACCTAACTGATACAGACACTAGAATAAAACTGGAGTTACTGTTCAACATTTTGACATGTATTTAAATACAAAGGAGAAAAAAAAAGCCACATTAAAGAAAAAAAAACAAAACAACAACAAAAAACCCCACCCAAAACACCAAACAAAAATAAACAAAGCCATGTTTATGCCTCCATTTTTAGATTATGTGTACATATGGATAATCATGCTGAGGAACAATTAGTTAACCTTTCTTCTGTATACAGTTCTTGCAAGACTGTACATATCTAGTTTTAGAGTTCTCAAAAATAAATCAGGTAGAACTAGAAATATAAGAGAGTTTAGAAGACAGCTAAACTGACATTATAAACTGGAGACACTTACTTTGGCACAATCTAGACTATATGTAGATTTTACGCAGCAAGCAGTAATTTGGAAATGTACTAACCCTACATTGGCTTAAAAAGCCATATATATTATACAAATACTATATCATGCTTGGAGTCCCTCACTAGCATGATAGGATAAGAATATAAAGATAACCTGGACTAAGCAAAAGTACCAATTACTCCAATTAAGCTTTCTAGGATTCCAGTACAGATTCCAAGCAGAAAGAGTATCAGTTTCTGCTCAGTGAGACTTGGCTAATGAATTTACATATAAGATGATCAAGCAATACTAAAGAAACAGCTAGGTGGAAAACAACCTATATCTCCAATTTCTGTCATTCAACAGATCTTTTCAATATTATGTACACTCTCCAGATAACTTTGATATCTAATGTATACACATACTGCCATGTACACCAATGTATACACATAATAACTTGAAGCTATTTGCACTATGCCTTCAAAATTAGAGCAAGTTGGAAAAGAAGTAGTGCTTAATCTACATATCAAGTTAAAAAAAAAATCTTTCTCAGATAACGCACATACATCTTCAGACAGAAACATTCCAGTAGATCCAACTGAACTTGATAAAAGCTAATAAATAGTAAGTTCACTTTATCACAAGTTTGCTTTTTTTTGTTTCTTAAAGCAAAGAATCTGATTCTCCTTTTATCACTCAGTAATAGATTGGAAGCTTTTCCTGTCAGTGTTCCTAGTGACAACTACAACAACACAAAGATTCATAGGCAAATCCTGAAAGAATAGTGTGGCATTGCATCCCAACTCAATTTGTAACACTGACTATAGTAAGCTGTACTACAAGCTGACAAAAAATATACACAGCTCATATATTTGCTCCAATCATTCACCTTCCATTTTTACTTGAGAGGCAAAATAAAGAAAGTGGATCCAAGAAAGTATTATATACAGTAAATATATACATAATTATATGCATATTATAAGACTCATGGATGAAAATTCCCAATTTGTATTTTATTAACAAATCTAAAACATAGGGAAAAGCAAATACTACTATTTGAAATTGCCTGTAAAATTTGAAACACCTTACAGCTAGGTTAAGGATGAGCTGTGACAGATTCCCACCCCATGCATCTTTAAAGCTGAAAGAACTCATGCATTCGAGTCAGGAGTCCACATTGGTTCTACTTCCTCTGTGTAGTCAAGTGAGAATATTAACAATTTCTCCCACTACAGTGTAAGGACAGGGAACTTTTGGAACAGGCCTGATCCATTTTCACTGTTACATTAGCTTTTCCTAACTCCGTTCTGCTTGCCAAGTAGTACAAGTAAGCTAGCTCTGAAAAATGCAGCTAGAATTTCCATGCTGTTCTTCCTTACCATTAAGAGATACAAAAGCCATAGAATTAAAATAGTTTTCTAGACTATCTATAGGGAAAAAAATTACCAATTACAACTGAAGTATTAATAATGATCATGATTTCCATTTATCATTTTAGTTATTTAAACACCGATGCTAACCTGGGGACAGGGCAATCCATTTTAAAGGTGGAATTTAATTTTATCAAATAGTTCAACACTTAACAATTGTCTGGTTACTGAAAGTCACCGACAGATGTGAATACAGACCTTAATAAAAAGAGGGGACCTGTAAATTTACATTTCAAAAAAAAAATCCTACTTAGATTCTAAAAATAGCAGCTTGGGTACTAAGATACTAAAACTATGGGGCAAGAATGGAAAGAAGCAAACTGAAAAATACAGCAAATACTATACTTGAAGATCAACCCCATTTTATGCTTATTCCTTCCTCTACCCAAAATCTGAATATTCAAAGACAAACAAGAGGAAATCTCTGTCAGTCATATGTTCACAGGGTACATACATATACACTGTGACTCCTGGAGAGAGTGGCAGAGACAGCAAACCTTGCTTCCAGTCTTAACTCTACAAACCAAAGTTTTTGAAAATGAGTAACCCATCTCTGATATGTTACATATGAGACATTTGGGGCTTTAACAGTGATTTAAGTTTACTTACTGAGGTTTTTTTTAGCTATTGCTCAACAACGCAAAATACTAGCATCACTGAGTGCACAAACCACCACATAAAAGACATGAAGTTTTCCTCACAGAAATCCGTGACTGCCGTACCATTGCATTTCCAATGCTGGCCTCTTGAGAAAAAGATTCTTAATCAAGATGCAGAATCTAAAAGTTCCATAGCTTAGTAGTAAGAGCACGCATCCACTGGGAACTATGTGCTTCAATCCTGGAAAAAGGGCAGGTTATTTGTATTATATTATATTTAAGACCTCAGTTTCTAAAATGAATTGCCGTAAATGAGAGGCATCGCTTTTTCTTCTCATTCTCAATTAAAAAAAAAAAAAAACAACAAACAAAACAAAACCAAAAACTAAGATAACTAAGAATTTAAACTAGCCTCCTAGAGCAGCCTGGTAGTTTTACATGTACTTCCATCTCCTATATTCTCACAGCACGAGAGAAATAAGTTCACTGGTATTCAAATTTTAATTCAGATTGGGGTAGATTTGAGGAATAATGTGATGCTAGTGAGTGAAGGCAACTACAGACTGCTTATATACTAAAATTAAATACTAAAAGGTTAAAATATGAAACTAGGGCAACTGTATAGAGTAAGCACCGTTTCCAAGAATTAATAGCAAAATTTTCAAATGTGCTAATTTAAATGAAGATACAAGAGTTAAATATAATAAATTATAGTTTTTATATAAACTATTTTATAGCTTTTATTTTCACATGAGTTTGTTTTGGGGTTTTTTGCCCCTTGGGAATCAAAGTATGTCCAAATAGCCCATGAATTCCAACATCTACCTGTTTCTTTCTTTGGTCAACCCAACTCTAAAAAGTCTAGAAAATTACTTATATATAGTGCATTGCCAATCTTTACTTATTTATCTTGGTAATCTCTCTCTCTCATCACAAAATGAAGAAAAATGGATTTAGGAAAAAAAGGTAAATAGAGTTATTGTTTTACTTAGAATATGGAGCTACTTTTGGCCACAACTGTAGAAAACAGATGGTTTTAACAGTGAAAAGTTCTTAGGGAAATTTACAGGAGAAAAAGAGCATATGACAAGTAGAGCAAAGTAGGCTTGAAAAGGCTGAGACCTTTAACTCCATTTTTGGCTCCAAATAAGAAAACATTTTTCACCTTTCAGATGTTGCCATTTCAGGTTTTTTCTTCACTTTTTCAGAGCAGCTTCAATACAAGTATCACTTTACCTTGACATATGTGCGTCTAGTTAAAATGCCTACTCAAAACGTGGGCTAAAAATATATTATTCTCATTGCTTTACACACTGATGTCTGCATTTGATAAACTCTAATTTACAAGGACTTATTAAAAGCATTAAATAAAATAACCTCAAGAATATATAAAAATGTATCTCCTCTGTACACATCATGCAGGGGCTTATAATACGCATTATCAGTGACAAGCCTTACCCTAAGAGTTTTACCTTCCATAACACTTGTCCCTGCATCTGTTCCCTATTTCAAAGTGCTGAAATTGACTACTAGTTTCATTTCAAAGCTTGCAACAGTGTTTTTCTGAAGTACTTATATGCATTGTGAAAGAAAACTGACTTAATATTTTAATTAACACAGAGTGAGAGAGGAAAAAAGTTTAGCGTTCAGTCCTTCCTGAAACATAGAACTGAGTAGACTAATCTAGAAGCAAAGATCTCTTTCAGAGCTATTACCCATACTTACAGTGAAATGTGCATTTTTCTCCAAGAGACTACACTGTTACAATGAAGATCGAATTACAATATATAATGGAAACTCAAAAGTCCAACATTAACTTCTTTTTACAATCGATTTTCATTCAGAAATATCTCTGACTTCACATTGGCAAACTCTAGCAATTAACAGAGGAACATAACTTAAATAGTGCAGTTTTGCTATGTTCAGAAAAACAGAAATATCCAAATTTCTCTGGAAATTTACCCTTGAATACACTTTATGATATAAACCAGGTTTTTTTTAAAGGTGACAAAAGTAAACATGCTGTAAGATGAACTACAAAGATGGTAATTTGTAAGTCAAACATAATTTAAAAAAAAAATAAATAAATTCACGTTCTGGCCTTTAAAAACAGCCAAAAAAACCCTCCTTATTTCCACAAAAGTATCTGACCCATTTCAGCAAGCCTGCAAAACAGCTGAACACTGAAGGAATTCTAGGGATCGGCCTTGTAATTAGCACACACTAAGTATTCAGAGCTACTTGCTGTTGCACTGTAGTACAAAAGAATTTTGGAGCAGAGTGCTCTGCTTATTTGCATTTCAATATACTTCACATTTCTTTAGTAAATGAACTATAGGAATAAGCAGACACAGAAAGAGAATAGATTAATAGGTACCTTTTAAAGCTAAATTGTACATTTTGCATGCGCAAATCTAAAACCACAGTACTTTCCTAGCACTTCTATGAATTCTAGCACTCCGTATTTATATATTAAACAGTAAGGAATATTGCCTACCAAGTTTTGCCCCATACCAAATGTTTATTACGATTTGTAATCACCTCAAACTTCTAAGGAGCTGAACAGGAATTCCAGTGCAAACAGAATGACTTCTTGCTAAACATATTTACTGTATTTTTTAATCTGCAAATTTTATGAAAACTGAAACTGTTCTTCAGGCGGAAGTCTAACTATAACTTAGTCTTCCAGTAAAACATACACAGTAGTATTTTGGCATTTACATTAAACTTGTCTCATCATTTTTTCATATCAAATAATTGTTACAGAAGTTAAGACTGTTCGTGCACATGCAGTCATAAGCTTCAGCCACAAAATTCTGATGTCTGGACACACTACTGATGGTGCAGGTTTTTGGTGGGGTGTTTTTTGTTTGTTGGTTGGAGTTTTTTCACTTACAACTTTCTACCTATAAGCCAGGAAAAGAGGCACCAGCCTGACAGTACTCTCGATCAAAAACAAGTTGGGTAATCTGTGGTATGAGGGCAATAGCACATTCTTATCATACCCTAGGAAAATGAACTGGGGAAAAGTCAAAGGGTTAAGAATTAGTAACTTAACCAGGTTTAGGAAGGTGTTTACAAAGTGCAATATTTTGGGCCAAACATCTAACAAGTACACACATACATAGCTCACTGCTAGGTGACAACCACCTCTGGTTTTCTGAGTATTTCAAGCTTCGTTCAAGTTTCACATGAAGCATTCCATATATTAAAAAAAAAAAAAAACCACCAACAACTTTTAAATTAAATACCTTTAGCACATACCTTGTAAAAAGTACTTTCCACAAAAATAAAAAATATGAAATAAAACATTGATATGATGAAAGGGAATGACATCTACAACATTTTTTAGTTTGTACTATTCACTCTCCATGAGATTTCCACAAAAAATCAAGTATAGTCAGAAGACAAACACAGAATGAATAAAACAAAAACTAACCTCATAAACAAAATACACTTTGGCTTTTACATAGATTCCCATGCGTACTACTGCGCGCACAGCAGCATTCATACCTGGGAAGAAAAAGCAAAATCACATTGTTATAGGTTATCCAATATTTTTTGTATACTATAAATTCTCACTGTCTTTAAAAAAAATGAAACATTAATTCATTCCTAAACAAAAACAATGATCAGCATCTATTAAAACAGAAATTTGCTTAATGACAGTGCAATCAACCCATGAATATGAAGGGTGCAGAACGAAGGGTGCTTCACTACAATAATTATGTGGATGCCAGTATGTGTGTTAGTCAGAAATTAAACTGCTGCGATTGTAAAACAGCATTGTAAAAGTAACAGCTACTAAACCAGAATCAGAAATTCATTTCACAGTAATGATTATTTTTCTATCTGAAATGTAAAACATGCAGCCAGTTAAAATGTAGCCTCTTCAAAGGACAAATTACACTGTAACAGTTCTTTTTCCTGAGCTTTCCAAAGTAACACAGGTGTACACACAGTATTTGGTGGGGAGCACAGCCAAAGCCCCTGACATGGACAGGTGCCCACTTAAAAAGATACCAGTAGCAGTAAATTAACATAAGAAACACTGCATGGACTCATTTGACAGAAAAGTGCCTAAATGGCACTTTGCTTCCCAGAATTGCAACCTCACATTGGAATTCTCTGCTCACAGACATCTGACAAATTATATTAGTGTCAAATCTTCAATTTAAGTCCAATGGTCAAACACTTAACCTCCTGAGCAACAGTGAAAGCTCCACTGGTCCCTTTACATGGATCAAACGAACTTCTGCTATAACCCGTCCTTCAGATGCTGTGATTCAGATTACCTTACTCATTATTCAGGAAGTTCCCCCAAATAATAAACTAATTGCTTCCATACCACTTAAACAGGCACAAGAGATTATGCAAAGCATGAGGACAGAAGAAGTTATTAGGCTACACTGAAACAAATAGCCTCGACACATCAGTTGAAAGGGATGCCAGAAACATGATGATCCAAAATATTGGGCAGATTCTCCAAATCTGCTGCACTTCATATCAAAATAGCAAAGTAGCATGTCAGCTCTGCTGTTTGACATAGGTGTTAAGTGTTTACCTATCTGGAGATGCAAAAAGTCCATAACCAGTATATATAAACCCACAACATGGTAAGCCATAAAGATCTATTCCTACAGTATCCACCATTACTAGAAAAAATTCTGAGCTATAAAATCTCACCTCTCTGAATAAAGAATAAGACTGACATTTTTGCAAAGATTTACTACTTCAGAACATACCAGAAAGTCTCTGAAGTAGTCTAATGCAAAACAAAAAATTAAGTTTGCCAAAATCAAAAGTTGTGTTGTTGTTTACGTAGATGTCACTAAGCTTTAAGATTAAAATCATGAGCAACAGTGTTTTCACATCAATTCTGTATTAGGAAAAAAACAGCAAGAATTCTCTCAGCCAGAGTCAGCCTTGTGGCAGAGCTGGAAAAAGTTCTCAAATGCCAAGACAACTAAAAGCACAGCTTTGGACAACGAACTGGGTGATGCCAAAGAAAAGCAGCGAATCTCATCTGACAAGCTGTACTGAAAACAAAGTTAGCACACTAAGTCTCAGATTAAAACAGATCTATTAAACAGTTATCTCCTCAGTGAAACAGTTTTCATAACAAAAAAAACACTCTCGCCCACCCCCCTCACACAATGTCCCCTGGAAAGTGGAGACAAAGACCTTTAACTTTATAAACCTGACAGTTCGTCACAGCACTGCCATTTTCCTCAACAGGGAAGACATAAGCTCAAGCTACTCCTTTCATCACAGTCCACAGCTTGCTTCTACTAATGCACAACATGTGTGGGAGATTTGGTTTTTGTGTTGATGGCTGGTCAGTAGAGAGGTTTTTTGGTAGTTTAAGTTTTGAGGTTTCAGTGGGTTTTTCTTAGCGGGGAGTGGTATTGTCTTTGCTTATTTGGGGTTCTTTGTGAAGGGGTTATTTCAGAGATAAGAACAACATTTTGTATTATCCATTTGGCTGCAGAATTCTAGTAGAGCAGCTAACAGCTTCATTTTCTGAAGGGAAAAAGTTCATCCTCACCAGGTGAGGACTACTCACGACTGTCCTTTTAAGAACCTTCTGTTTTGGAAGTTCAGTTTTGTCACCTCTCCTTTTTAGCACCTGATTAAAAAAACCTAAAGACTGTTTCAGGTATCTGACATATGTCCAGTTATAAAGACTCTGGTGTCTCATTCAGCAGTAGGCTCCGAATTTCAAGTATCTAATTAGAATAAAGAGAAAGTATCTGTGATGCAAACAGGCTAAAGCAGAATAGGTTTTTCAGCAAAAATAAATATTTAATAAAATAGGAAAGCATTAAACATAAACATTTATATGCCTGCCAAAGATACGTACTTGTCTTTTATCTGTTTCTTGCTCACATTTCTGCCTTATTAGTCATGTATCCTATCCATGTATCAGTGTATTGTAAAAAAAGGGCAGTTACTCTGTTCTCGTTACAGATTCTCCAGATCTGCCATGTATTCACTATGCATTGGTCTACAAATGTTGATTTGGCTTAACATTCATAGTTCTAAACCAGAGTAAAATATAAGCATTTGTTTCTCAAAATGACAAATCCATTAATTCTTTCCATGTGAATACATTCATAACACAGCCACATACTTTCTTAGTGAATACTCTCTAGTTTCTAGGTCTTACGTGAAAAACTGGTAAAATTCATAATTTATCTACAAAAAAGGGTAAAAGCCCAGGAAAAAAAGCCCCACAAATTACAGACAGAAAGCATCTTCTCAGTACCACCACTGCAACTTTGCAACTTTGTGCATCATACATTTTATTATTATTTGGCAATGTATATTTTATCTCTTGATATAGAAAAGGGACTTGGGTGTTTATTGGCAAACTCCTTAAAAAGTGGCTTACATTTCAGAAGGGCTGAGCCTGTAGGGTGCTATAATTTGATATCTACAAAATACAGTTAAAACACTGAAGCTTTACACTTTTACATGTTGGCTATGTAAATCTAAATACACTGCTTGCAGTGATTCAAGTATGTAAATACAGAAAATTTCATGAAGTCTTTGTGGAACTTGTCTAACAAAATGTTGTTGTATTTGATTATTTGTGGAGTCTTACAATGGTATTTGTGAATTACCATAATAACTATGAAATGTAATTATATGCTTGTTACTGAAAAAGAGATTTACTGAGTTAACCATGGATTTAGTCCTGAATAACAAATATATCCTGATAAACGTATAGAATTAGAATAGCAGCTTCAAAAGAAAGTCATGAGTAAAACCAGTATTTTTTTATAACATAAGAATTATTTAAAATCTTTCTGAATTACCACTTCCTTTTTGCCTGTGACAGAGGAAAAGATTTATTTTGCTCTTTTGGATTCAGCAAAGACTAAGTAATCTGCAACTACTTACATGGCTTTACATAATGCCTGAAATTAATTTAAAAGTAGATAATTTACTGTCCTTCTTGATAATGTCTATTCAATTGTCTTTGAAAGCAATAATTTTCATAGCAAGCTTACAAACAGTACTGCAGAAATTTTTATTTTAAAGGCACTCCTTTCCCCAAAAGACTACTTGTCTCCCATGCCTACGTCCTGTTCCACTATGCACCCCTGCAACAGAGGAGTGTGTGTAAAATTAAAACACTATTTTGTGTTTGAGCCAAGTTTTCCTCACTTTAGTCAGCTACACAAGGCTTTAAATAACTGTAATGCTAACCATATAAAAGAAAAATCAAAACTATGCATCTTGGACAAGCATCAAGAAATACTTAAGCACCATCAATTTTAAAGATAAACATTGGCTTTAATGCGTGCTTAATGACTTAGCACATATGTTTAAAGTGCTATCCTGAATAAAGATTCACACTTAAAAGATTATATAGCAAAACACACAAACTAAGGAAAATGTCTAAATATTACCAAACCAAGTCTTTATTCAAATATGTAAACAGATATATCAGTAATGATGTAAAAGCCTACAATCCACAAAAGGAAAGATGAGAAGCAGTCAAATACAAGAACTGAACAAATCATTAAGAGAACAATTTGGGTTTGTTCCATTTACTTTTAATTACTTAACAGATTTTATTGCATATAATCATAATAACGATTCTAGATACCTCAAGAAGACACTATACAATTTTTCTAAACAGTAACACTGTATTAGACCAGAACATCCTACTGCACAAATATATACAATATTATACTATCTAGACTACATACCCATCTCCTTCAAAATTTTAAAAAAACTTCTCAAGGGACTAATTTCAATCATAGAATCCACTAATTATAGAAGCAGTTGCTCCAAAATATTAAGTGCACTGAAATAGTTACACTCATTCATCAGTAACTACATTCCTTATTTTTCATACAATTTATATTATAATATTATACATATGGACACATATATACATATTTTATATATGTATCTATACACATACACATTATTATTTGCTGGAAACGGTGTCTTTTTGGAGGGCTAGAATTCAAAAATTCCTTGTGACTATCTTCAAATTACATAAGAGTTAACAAATAAATTCTATAATTTGGATGACATAAAAGGAGCGTGGGTTGTTTTGGTTTGGGTGGTTTTTTTGGTTGTTTTGTTTGTTTGTTTTGAGGGGTGTGTGGTGTATTTATTTACTTTATTTGGTTTGTTCAGAGGCAAAATTTCTTTTTCCATTATATGCTACCAGGAGAAGATCCTTATATCTGTGCTACCATATTACATACCTCTTGTGAAGTTCCTCTGAAGCCTGTAATGCTTCCGAGTAGAAGTATGTAGATCTTTGCTTCCACAGCCATGGTCTGTGGCATTCCAAAACTCTGGAATCCACCAGGCTATAGGGTTCTTTTTAGCTGTTTCTAAGCTCAATATTTGCTGAAGGAGTGGAGGTATTTTGTTTGTTTAGTGGCAAAATTTCTTCTTCCAGTGTAAGGTATAGGACAAGAGCAGTATATCTCCACTACTATATTAAATATGCCTTTAAATGTTGGGAAGCCTATAACGTTTCAAATGTAGAGATATGTAGATATTTACTTCACAAGTCATGGTCTTTGATATTTTAGACCATTACCATGTAATCCATAAATCCCTTACTGCTGTCTTCCACAATACTAAATCTTTGAGTTTATCTCAAAAATAAGATGGTCACATTCAAAGACAATAATCTTGAGCCAGTAAATTGGGCAACAGCTTGAAGCAGCCACAAACACATCATTCCCCCAACAGTACACAAACACCTTCTGTCTGAACCTTTCAGATTACACTGTTCCTGCTGCTACCACGGCCCTAGAACAAGCAGTCCGATTGGAAGTTGTATGAACATAAGTGACTTCCGGCAGCCAAAATTCTCCAGCAACCAGCATAAAATATAACCAGTGTACTTCACGACCTGAAGCAAACCATGGCCAGAGAGTCCCACAAAGCAAAGACAGAAGCATGACTTAAAACCCATTTATTAGTCCATCTTTCTCAGCTGCAACCACTACAATTTAGAAATAGTCCAAAAACTGAGCTAACCCATAAATCTTGAGAATCAATTGTCAGAACTTCTTTTGCCTCTCAAGGTACTTATGATTATGGTGGGAAGTACTTCTTTTAGTTAACAATTTAACAGCTGGGTAGCTAAAGTGATGGACTGCCAAGTTTAGTACTTACATACATTAAATGTACAATATACAAATCTTTTCTCCTGTGAAATAAATCACTGATAAATTCTTTAGCTCCACCAAACAAAAGAATATACCTGTGTTTAAAATACAGTGACTAAACCATAATAGTTCCAGTATGACATATACACATTCTATAGTATTTAATATTGCACAGATAGTAAAAATGAAAAACAAAAACAAAATCTTGCAAGGAAATACCACAATTGTGGGGAAGTAATTTAAAACTTAACATGCCCTATAAATAGCAAGGTTTGCGTAATTTACATAATGCTACTTCTAAATTATTAAAAAGTACAATAACAGCAAAGGCAGCAACTTCTATTTTAAAATAATTGCAAGCATATTTTGTTCTAGGCTGAGATTTACAGCCCAATCTAAATCAAGGCACCTACTGATATGAAGATTATGTGTTTACTGCAATACTAACAGGTGTTCTTTCCACTCAATTTCCTGTGAGTTTAGTTTGCATTACAGATATTCTTAAGATTTCTAGTGTCTAACAAATCTAAAAAAGAAACTCAAACCTCAACAAAACAAAACC